ACCATCAAAGATGTTGTTGAGTTTGTTTCATCATCTGAACAAATTTGGAGAAATTTAGCATCACATCACTTGCCCACCAATGGATCCTCTGCAGTGAATGGGTGCCGTCAGAATGAGAATTCAAACAGCTGATAAAAACATCACAACAATCCACAAGTAATCCACACGGCTCCAGTCCATCTTGTGAAGTGAATAGCTGTGTGTTTGTAAGAAACAAATCCATCATTAAGATGTTTTTTTCTTGAAGCTGAAATCCTAATTTATGAGTCTTACACTAAAAAATGCTGGGTTAAATATAACCCAGCACTGGGTTATATTTAACCCAGCATTTTTTAGAGTGAACATTCTTCAAAACATCATCTTTTGTGTTCTGCAGAAGAAAGAAATGCATAGAAGTTTGGAACAACACAAGCATGAGTAAATGATGACAGAATTTTCATTTTGAGTGCGCTATCCCTTTAAGTTGACATCTTTAAAATAATTATATTCAAACATGTTCTGTTTATTTAGATTGTTTTAAATTGTTCTACATCCTTCATCTCATGTTTTCTCTGAGAAACATGCAAGTAATGGGGAGCAAAGTGCTTATCTTAATTTTAACCATATTTATTATTCATACCTCAGTGCATGCCAGAAAGAGGGAAAATGGGGTGGAACCACAAAAAGCCTATTTCAGCGCTTCACATTAAAGCATATTGTAATAGAAAAGCTGAATCGAGTTGCATTGCTTGTTTTCCTGGACATTTTAAGCTACAACTTCAAGACGGTGGAGTATGGTGGAATCTCCCTTTGTTTCATAACAAATCCACAAAACAAGCCAGATCCAGTGTGGTTTCTGTGTCACTGCTGCAAAGTCACAACGTTTTAAGAGAAGATAAACTTAGGGCATATGGTCCAGACTCCCCTCTGGATTCTATTCAGATAAATACAGGTTTGCGCTGCCAGTGGGGGAAGCACAGGCCAGCGTGACCCCACCCTCTAACTACAGCCTTGAGGTCTGTGAGTGTTAAAAATACCCCACAGTGACCCAAGCACAAGAGTGATCCCGTCTGCCATGCTCACTCTGTCTCCTCCCTTTACTTTCTGCACAAAACTGCATGTGGACCTAGTTTGTCTACCATGGTTATATCTACATTTTAATATTAATGAATGCTGTAATATTAAAGTAAATATAAAACACCTTTTATTAAATGCAGATCAAAATATTAAAACATTTAAAAAAAGAAAAGAAAAGAAACAACAGGAATTATATTTTTAAAATATTTTGAATAAACCTTTTTTTTTTAAATCTCTATCTTTTGGAACATTATTTATTTATTTATTTATTCATTCATTCATGCATTGATATAATTTTTATGACAATTTAAGCATCTTTCCCTCTAAATTCTCATTACTTTATGTTTAAATGAAAAAATACTTTTATTCAGCAAGGATGGATTCAATTGATCAAAGGTGACAGTAAAGACATTCATAATCATAATGTTACAAAAAAATATATATTTAAAATACAGTAGAGTGTTCTTTTGAATTTTCTGCACATCAAAGAAAAATGTATCACTGTTTCAACAAAAAATATTAAGCAGCACAACTGTTTTCATCATTGTTAATAATGAGAAATATTTCGCTTTTCCATCTCAGGAATAAATTAAATTACAAATATTTTAGAAATATTGTAAATGCAAAAATACAAAAAAAAATAAAAAATTTTGAATTTAATTTTTTTATGTTACATTAATAAGAATTGAGAAAATAAACATAATGCAAAATTCCAAGTGGTTTTTAAAAACGGGATTAATGCAAAATTCTTACTTTTGGTTTTGTGGTAAAATATGACCCAGACATGTCCTTGCCAGAGTTTGTGAAATTCAAGTGTTTGTATATATCAGTATGTAAATGTATGACACAAAACAAGTGAAAGAGAATGACTTGTGCAATTCGATAGCAGCCTCCCTAAAATGTTTCAAATGAAACAGTTCTCTGTTGTGAATGTTAACAGGGTTTATAGAAATGTACAGCTAAATGGGCAAACAGAGGGGGTATCTGCGATAACACTGACGTCAGCTGGGTCATATCTGGAAGCAGTTTTGCAGCTTAGAGCAAAGAGCACACAGTGAACTGCATACATAGACATGAGCAACAGCCTGAACTGTCCTTTTGTGTGCTGCTTCATGACGGATGGGGCTCATCTGTGTATGGGTGGGTGTAGGGCCAGTCGGGTGTGGGGGTCAGTGAAGAGATGCAGTGGAAACACACAGCCCATGTTGTATTTGCGTGAAGGCATCTTTGTATGAAATATGCAACACATTATGTGTGTGTGTGTGTGTGTGGTTTTGGGGGGTTGGGTGAAGCTGATAGTGTTTAGCATGATAATGGCACACACTTTGAATTGAACGTCATGTGAATAATCAAAGGTTCTGATGTATGCAATCATAACACATTCCTGAATGTTTATGAGGGACTGGCTCTTTTTAATTATGTGCTCCACCATCACTTATTGGCCTATACAATAAGGCAAAAAAAGAAGAGACTTGATAATGTTATCCAGAAGAAAAAAAAATGCTAATGAATCCTCATCATTCTTATTTCTCTCTCTCTCTATACGGCGTCAAGTATATTTTTTATAGTCTAAAAAGAATGATGAATGTAAAGAAAAAGGAGAATAAATGAAAAATGAATGCTGCCACCTTGTGGTAGAAATACAACAACGCAGCTCAACCTCCAGCTGTTGTCTTGTAAAGCAATGTAAGAAAAGAAATGTAAGAAAATTTAAATCTAATCTTAAGGTTTATTTATTTAATTATTTAGCATGTGTTTATTGCTATGCATTAATTCTCTATGTATTTTTTTTTTTTCAATTTATCTTGTTTTTTTTTTTTACTTTGCTTGTGTTAAGGACCTATTTTTTTTTTTATCATCATCATCATCATCATCATAAATGCCAATTATATCGCTTTAAATATTTTTTTTAATATTCCAAGTTCAAGAAATGTCTGCCACTTATGAACAGCCAGAGCACGTTATTTCTATTGATGTCTGGACCTTTAGCATTAGTTATTACATCAGTTTTCATTCGTGATTTTTTTTATTTCTTTTTTATTAACTCTAAAATACTCTGAAAGGTACAAAGCTGTAACTAGGGCGGTACCCTAAGCCTAACGTACAAAAGCTAAAGGTACATCTTTTTACCTTATTTACCCCTAAACGGTACATAATAGTACTTTAAAGATCCTCTAACTAAGAGGCTCTAAGGTTTACAGGATGTAAAAATGCGGTACATGCTCCCATCCATTCCAAATGAAGCTGTGCAGGGTGCGCAGGTGTCCGCTAGAGGGCGACATTACTCTGTGTGCACAGTTGGCACAGATTTCTGCAGCGAAATGGAAAAGCACAAACAAGGAGATGGTCCTCACTGCAGAACACAAGATCCAGATCCTACTCCTCCCACCTTACATATACCTAACCCTCCCCGCCTCCACCCCCTGATCCCTAAACCCCCCCATCTCCACCCCTAACCCTACCAATCTCCACCCCCTAGATGTGAATCCAACCACGCCCCCTGGATCTTGTGCGAGGGGCTACTGCAAACAGGTGGGCATGAGTATAGGGAGATTAATTTATTAATTGACATTTAACTTTTTTTAAGTTCAATGGTTCTTCACCATCTGATTTGATTCACAGAATGACTCCTGGTGTGATGTAATTCAAACAGGGTCAGAAGCTTTAACAGCCAGTAACAGAAGCCAGCTGCTAAAATTAGCAGGAGAGATTTCAGTCACATCTGGGTGGATCTCTCTCTCTCTCTCTCTCATATTTGTTGGAGTTCAGTAGGCTAAATGACTTCCATTTGTGCTTGAGAACTAGGAGCCTCGCTCTCTCTCACATGAAAGGCTAGTGTGTGTGTGTGTGTGCGTGCTTGTGTGCGTGTGTGCGTGCGTGTGTGTGTGTGTTTGATGAAAGGGTTGTGTATGTGGGTAGAGGGCAGTAATTAAAGCTATTCTCCAGAGCTGATAGTCAGAGGCCTCGGCTGCAGCAGTGGTCACACCCCTTCCTGTCTGACAGATCTGATCCATGACTCTGCTGCTGAGTAACAACCTGAAGACTCACATGATCTGCCTCAACTCACAGTTAAGACTCCACTTGCTAATTAACTGTTTAAACATCAGAGTTACAACCCCACTTCATTAGTTTTATGCATTTATTTTATTGATTGAACATGCTAACATTTAGTGACATTTTTTTTATTAATAGATTAATCTGAATAACATAGAGATATGTTGTTACGTAATAAATATACACAGTACAGTAAATGTTTACTATATATTTTTACTAATTATAATATATATTCATATATTAATATTTTTCATTATATTTTAATGTAGTTATAGTGTTTATATAATTATATCCTTTCATACACTACATGAACATCTTCCTTCCTTCCCTATGTTTACAATATATTTTAATATATATTTTAATATTAATATATTTTTATATCTGATCTCAGTGAAGGGTGGTGAGGGCACATATAATATTTTGTTAAAGAAAATAATCAAACGAAATTGTACATTGAATCCCTGATTATTTTAAGGAGGAAATTATACTATTTTTATATTTTTATTTGTAAAAAAAGGTCTGTATGTGGTAAGAATGAAGGTTTAATTGTCAGATAAACGTACAGGAGTGAATTCAGGTAAATTAAATTGACCTGAAGTCAACTCGTTTAACATGTACAGCAAGTTCAATCCAAAGAATTTTAGCAAGATTATACAGTCAGAGTTCGATTGTTTTTTACACAGCGTAGCCTACAAACACTGTAGCGTATTTGGAGAACTGAAAGGACAGATGTGTAAAATATAATGTAGTGTAGATAAGTAAAACATATGAGGTGTGTAAAATGTCTTATTATTTGAGGCTCCGTCAATCTGCCTCCGCCAGCAGCGGTGCTTGTCTGCGTCTGGGCGTTTCGCGCATGCGCAGTCATCTCTCTCCTTTTTCCAGGCCAGTGCGGCAGGCGGACCACAGGGAGAGGGAGAGATTTTAGGAAGGACAGTTACAAAAGTTAAAGAAGAGGAGAAATCATGACACAAAACAGTGAACTTATCGATCGCCTCTCCTCGCCATTGAATTTGACATCCCTCATCATGGCGCTCGTGTCACCTATGAAATATTGATTTTTGTCATGTACGCCAAGTTGAGGATATAATGCCGGGAAACGGATGAGAACTACCGCAGTCGCCTGGAATTGCTTGCTGGATATTGAATCCGGCGCTCGGGGATGCAGTTGGGATTGATTTCGTGTATATAATCAATAAATGAGCGGAGGGTTATTGGACTACACGAGAGCTCGGGCCGATCCGTTATATTTCACATCACATTTAAGCATGGGAATGTCGTCCAGCGCTCTGATCTCATAGTCACTCCCGCGGGACGTGATGCAGCCACGCGTAGATGTCAAGATGGGTGATGCCGCAGAGATCAAGGAGAGCAAGAGGACGTTCATCGTGCCGACGATCAAATCTGTTGATCACTATGATTTCACCAGGGCCAAGATATCGTGCAGTTTGACGTGGCTCATCGCCAAAGCCTTTGGATCTGGTAGGTGGCGCTTACGGATTAAAAAATCTTGTATTTGAGTGATGGGGGAAGTTATCACAAGGGCTATACACGATCTCAGTGGTTTAATATAGAATTTTTCAAACTGGGGTCCGGGGACCACATGGGGCCGCAAGGGAATGCTAGGGGGTCAGTGGAAATGATATGAGAAATGAGAGTGTAAAAAAACACTCTCATATCTCATATGTATGTGTGTGTGTGTGTGTGTGTGTGTATGTATATATATATATATATATATATATATATATATATATATATATATGTGTGTGTGAGTGTGTGTATGTATGTAATAAACTATATTATTTTCAATAAATTAGAAACAAATAAGTAATAAATTAAATAATCAAAAATTAGGTTTAAGTGATAACATAAAAATAAATAATTCGGTTAAAATAAGTAGACAAATGAGTAAATAAATACAGTACAATCACAGCACTATAATGAGTATATATTAAAAAGAATAATAATGTAATGTAAATAAAATATAATAATGTAACTAGAGAAAGCAAATATTGTCAAAATAATGTTTTAGACATATTTATAATATTATTTTTTCACTGTATAAATTGGGTTTTTATACAAACTCTGTAGATGCCTTTTCAATTTTAGGATGGGGTCCTTTGCATGGGGATGATCACATTTGGGGGTCCGTGGCATTTAAAAGATTGAAAACCTCTGGTTTAATATACTTTTTCATGAATTGTTTTGTTTTTCATAACCGTGTTACTGTTTACATTTAGCTGAAAGCATGTTTAATTGCAGTTTCCATTGTGACAACTTACCCCATAGTGTGACACCTTGCTGTTGCTCACCATATATTTCAATCAACTGTATATTTTTTCCTAGGCAGTGACAGGGGACATGTTCAGTTGCTTTTTTTTTGTTGTTGTTGACAAGACTTCAAAGCATGTGTTTATATTGAAAATAAACCTACTTTGAGAAATGTGGACTGGAGTAAAAGTGTGTCAACATGCCTATTTTCCCCTACCAGTATTTAGAAATGCATTGGGCATATTTTTAAATTTAGCATCATGAGTGTTTATTGGAGGGATTTTGTTAGTGGGATATATTAATTAGTTAAATTATGAGAAGAAAATACATTTGTTCTTCTCTTAGGAATTAAGAGAATTGTAATTTTAAAGGTATTTTATGTGCATATGTGTCTCATGAGAAGCAGTATAAGAGGTTAAAAACAGTGAATTTCACAAAAAATCTAGATGGTGGTAACTGTTGCCATGTCTGCAGAAATCATTAGCCTAGATCCCTACATAGACTCATTAAAGGCCGCTGTCTGGCTTATAGCTCAGAGTCCGTCCCCACAGTCCATAATGAATGCTCAAAGCAGATTCCCCACTTCTGCACACAGTAATAGGATTGAATTTTCCAGAATAAGTCCCATGGAGGATGCTGGAAAAAACATAAACGCAGAATATCAAACTTGCATGGCCTTAGCAGTATGGCTTTTAGAGCGGCCGCCCGGCCCACAACAGAAACGCCTGTGGAGTGCAACGCAACAGGGCCAAGATGAAGACTGCTCTTGGCAGAAGTGTGTGTATGTGTGTAAAAAGTCTGCTTTTCTCATTGGAGTTGCTGGTGTTCATGAACTCTAATGATAAATTGTTATCTAATTGATAAAGCATGGACTTACTATAATCTCTATTGCAGATGTCTCTGAATCACCTAAATTTGAGTCACTTCTGATAGTGACATTAACAAAAACTACTATTGTACTTGGTTACTACTACCATTGTTTTTGGACATTGAACCTCTTGTGAAAGAAGTGAAGAAGTGTGCTTAATTGTATTGAATGTATAAAAGTATATATTTTAAAAACTGTACTTGCAGATAATTTAAATTCCACTTTAGTGTACTTTAGGAGAGTACATTTGCGTGACTGTTTCTTAACACACTTAATAAGTACACTTTAAGAGTGCAGTTTAACTTCAAATTTAAAGTTCATTTAAAGTACATGATTTAATCATCTTTTATTGTGCTTCTAAGGGGTAGATTTAATTACTAAATGTTGTGTTATTCAATATTACATTAAAAGTCCATTTAAATTTGACATACAAGTTTCAGAAATGACAATAAAGTATAATTTAGTTACCAGAAATGCATTTGGCAGTAACCGTATTTCAAAGACAATTATGAAATTACATGTACTTACTGTAAGTCCTACTGTAAGTGGATCACAGAAATACTCTTAAGTTCAACTAATTGCACTTAATATAATTTAATAATACATCTTAATTTAATTGCAAATAACATTCAATTAACATTACATTAATTTGCCCTTCAGTAAATTCTTTTAACGTATATTATTTCCATAATAAAGACTTGTTTTAAAAGTATGCTTAAGTGTACTTCTTTTTCACAAGGGACCATACATACAGTAACATGTATTTTGTATCCTGTGTTTTTCTCAACATATTGCATGGTAGTATGTAAATACCATGGTGCATGAATATGGTCCTCATGCAGTATTTATCAAAGTACTATGGTAGTTTTTTTTTTGTAAGGGTGATAATATCTCCCCATCCGTCACTGCTCTTCACAGCAGAATGAAACTGTTGATCAGCATGAGAAACAAACACAGGAAGAAGACGAGCCGAACCATTGCAAGGCATCCTTAGAATGAAAACAGAGTCTGGTGGATGTCTGTTCATCCAGATACTTTTCTCGGAAATGAAAAATAAACAAGGCCACAAACAGCTGTTTTGCGTGCCAGTAGGCCCTTATAACGACATTGTCCATGTCCTGTCTTTCCCTCCAGCCTCACATCTGTGACATACTGCACATACCACAACAGAGAGCATTCGTTTCTGTTACATCACTGAAGCCTGAGGAGCGCTGGGAGTGTGTGACGTTCACATGTGACTCTGTGCACTGTTATTCTCTCTGTAAACTGTTATTACGGAACAAAAATGTCAAACGTTCATGTTATGTTACATATGAGGGACTCATAATGTGGAATGGGAAAATTATTACTTTCTTTGTTTCTTAAGATGATAGCATCAGCACATTTTTATAGGAGTATGAGACCGACTGAATGAACCAGTTTGCAATTAGCAAACAACAACAATCCAGTTAGTTAATGATGGACAAAATCAAGTCCTGTTCAAATTCTGTCGATTTGAACTATTGAAAGGCTTTTGTGAGTCGTGGTGACTCGCTTCCTTCAGGCTTTTCTCTCTCTGACCCCTCACTTCCTCTCTGTGTTTGTCGTGCCTTCGAGAGCCGCTTCCTGCCTCTGTCCTCCATCTAGCTGGGATGAAACGTGGGGATAAAACCTTTCCGTAACCAGGCAGCTCTTTATCAGCATGTTCAGGAAAAACTGTGAGCTTTACAGAAGCAAGTGTGTGTGTGTTTTTGCTTTTGGCTCTGAACTGGCGGAGCCTGCAGGGAAAGGGTTTCCATTGACGCAGCAGCTTTTCGTAAGGTTAGGGGAATGTTTTTAAGAGTTTTCTGATCCCTTTGTAAATATTTAAAATACATAAAAAGACCGTCGACAGCCGTTATAAGTTAATGTTGGAATTAAGTGTTTAATACAAATGGATAATGATGGTCAACTAATCATGCAACAACCAAATGGCTGTTTTTTTCTCATTTATTTATTTCATTTTATTAGTTTAAACTTGTAAAAAAATTAAATAATATACAAAATTTTTTTTTTTTAATAATAACATTTACTTTAATATTTTTTTTTCTTTTTAATGTTTAATTATTATTTAATTTGTAAATAATTTTTTTTCTTCAATTAAAAAATGTCTTCCCTTTTTATTTGATTTAATTTAATTGTAATTAATTTGTATAATTTGTTTATTCATTAAATATTTATTTCATTAATATTTTAGTAATTATTAATGATTTTTATTTGTATTGTTTTATTTTTAAGCAGGAACAGCAGGAATTGTACTGCACCTTTAAGACACATATTTCCTGCTGCTGAAAAAGAAAATGAGCACACACATACACACACACACACACACACACAAAGACATACTAAAAGGAAATGACCCGGGAAGAGCAGGAATCTACATCGCCTGTTGTCTGACTCAAACACTGAAGCATTATGGGGTGCCACTGCCAGGAATTTCCTTCTTCTTGTAAACTCAGACATCTGCAGTCGCACTTCAGCGTCAGAAACAGAGCTGAATTGTCAGTCTGCAGATGTTGTCTTCCTGATGCTGTTATTTTCTGTTTGTGTGCATCATGACTGCTTTGTTTTTTGGCAAGTGCTCGTGACTCAGTTTTTTCAGGTCTATACCTGGGTGTTTACATGTGTGTGTAATTGTGTTTGCTTGCTACTCAGTGATTGCAGTCTGTATGTATGTGTGTGTGTGTGATTTGACTACTTTTAACCCCCGAATTAGAGCATAATGGTTTTAGGTTTGAAAAATCTACAAAATGTAAACTTATTTGTTAAAACAAAAGTTACGTCATTGTTTAATCATATTGCTTTTCATCATCTTGTAGAGATACACAGTGTGATGGTAAAATTTTTATTTGTAAAAGGATTGTATGAGATTAACTGCAGTGTGTGTGTGTGTGTGTGTGTGTGTGTGTGTTTGTGTTTTGCCTTGTTTGTGTGTTTGTGTGAATGCTTGTGTTTGTGTTGAGTGTTTGTGTGTGATTGTGTTTGCTTGCTACTCAGTGATTGCAGTCTGTATGTATGTGTGTGTGTGTGTGTGTGTGTGTGTGTGTGTGTGTGTGCGTGACTCAATTCATGCATGCCTGTACCTGTCTGTTTGTGTGTGTTTGAGTCTATGGTGCTATACTGAAGATCTTCAGTAAATCAGATTAAGCGGGAGCCATAATGGGATTAGTCTGAAAACAGTGTGTCTTTCTCTTCAGGTTCCACTCGTTGGCCTCAGATCAGCCTGTTTGACCAAACATTGATCCTGAATCAGATTTAAAGGCACATTAAGTTATTCTTTTCACCTAAAGAAATGAATAGTACAGTTTTTTTTTTGGACAAAATGTTTTACCCACTTCATGTAACCACCTGAATAATTACTTTTTCTCATTAGCCTCCAAATTCTTGGACACTTTTGTGTAATCAATCACAATCTCTCTCTTTCTCTTTAGACTGTGTACCTGTGGAGTTGGAGGATCCATTCTACCGAGACCAGTATGATCAGGAGCATGTGAAGCCGCCCGTTGTGTCTCTGCTGCTTTCTGCGGAGTTGTATTGCCGTGCTGGGAGTCTGATCCTCAGGAGCGACGCGGCTAAACCTCTGCTGGGTCACAACGCCGTCATCCAGGCCCTCGCTCAGAAAGGCCTCTACGTCACTGACCAGGAGAGACTCGTGACTGAGAGAGACCTCTGCAAGACCCCCATACAGATGGCAAGTCATTTGGCACTACATCTTCATTTTTTCTGTTGCAGAACTGACATATATTCAGATTTAGAGTGTAAGGGTTTATTTTAATAGTGATGTGACCCTGCAAATGAATTCAAAAGACTGTTGCAATGCCTTCATAGTAATGTGTGCTAAGTAGAAATGCACAATACATGGGCACTAGGGCTGTGCAATTTGGTGGGAAAAAAAGAAGTGATTTTTCTGATAAAAACTGTGATTTTAAAAAAGTAAAAACATTTAAATAAATGCTTGTTTGTAGGGCTGCAATTTGGCAAAAAATGTTGAGTTATATATCAATAATAATAATTATTATTGTTATTTTATTATTGTCATTATTCAATAAAATATTAAGTAAAATAAGAAACATTACTATTGTAATATTTCACTGTAAAATAAAAAGTCAAATATTTAGGTAAAACATGTAAAATTACAATACTAATATTTATGTCTTAATTTTTCTTTTAGATTACCTTTGCCATCATCTAATGCTCACTTAAAGTTAATCTTTAAAAACACCAATAATTTAATAACATTGTTAAATGTAATATTTTGCAAATCTCAAAATTAATATACATTTTTGTACTGTGCATTATAATGTTGTTATTTCTAAATTCACTTAATTTAAAATGATTGTTTTTTGTTTTTAGCATTTTATTTTTTGATCATGTAATTATTAATTATTATTAATTATTTAGACAAAATAGTATAGAATTTTAATATTGGCCTATTCATTATTAATAATTATTGGCCTATTGTTATTAACCAGAATTTTTCATACTGTCCAACTAATGTTGTGATGTCTAAATTCGCTTGTTTTTAAAATGATTGATTTAAATTTGTTTGCTTTTTATTTTTTACTTAATTATTTAGACAAAACATAATATATTTGTAATCTCGGGCATAATAATCAGCATAGTGTTATCAACCAGAATTTTAATATTAGTGTATCCTTACCGACTGAAGCTTTCATAAGTCTGTCGTAATGCCTTTAATAGTGATTTTCATAGAACAAGCAAAAAAAAATTATGGGAATTATTTTGGTGTGGCTTAGTGCTGGGGCGGTATGACCAAAAATTTATATCTCGGTATTTTTCAAAATTATACTGGTTACATGGTACATGACGGTATTTTTTTTTTTCATGCATGACCGGGTGTTAACCATATTTTCTACTGATTGAGAGAGGAAATACTGCAGTATATTGACTTAGAATGCCCTATTTTACTGTCATGATGAGTGAATATTGTCAAAAAATACCACACTAAATAGTGACTAAACACGACCCCTTTTAATACATGTTAACCAGGAGTCACTCATTTATAATCGCGGCATCGTCTGATAAAATCAACATGCATCTACACTATGCGGTTGTTTTGGCTATATTACTTTTTTATCTCATGCAGCGCACTGCCTGCGTCTGAGTAACAAACAAAAAAAAACAACAAACAAAAAAGTGCATGTGATATTAACAGACGAACTACGCTCATATTTATAATTCCAAACAAACAGTAAGCGACAGGTGCTTGGGAACGTGGTTTTG